ACGTCCTCAAACTCGACATAGCTGACAGACAGCCTGCTCGCAACACGGGAACGGGCACGGCGAGCCCTCCAAGTATAAGTATTAGTATCCCCGGCCGCAATCCCAGTCCTAGTCTGCTGAAAGACTCCAAGAAAATGGAGCGTCACATATACACATCCAAACTAACCCTTTTCTCTCCTCTTCATCTAATCCCCATGCATAGGCGTCCCCGGCCCACTCCCTCCTCCAGTTCCTCCAAACGAATCCCTATACGGTAAAGGCGAAGAAGGCTGCTGCGGCTCATCAAAGAACCTTATACTCCTCGCAGGGGACTGTTCTCTCGAGCTCAACCCCGTAGGTTCGTTTACGCGGAGAGAGTCGAGTCGGTGATGGCGGAGTCTTCCTCCTCCTGCTCCTCTTTCTCTTTCTCGGCCGGCTTCACGACCTCTTTCACCACCTTGTCCTTGTCCTTGAGGAGAAAGCGCGAGTTGACCAGAGTACGAGCGTCGATGTCCACCTGGGGATTGATTCCCACTCTCGGAGAACACAGGTGAGGAAGGAGAAGCCAAAGGTGAGAGTGGAGAACGAGAACGTGTACGTGTTGGGTAGACTTTGATACCCGAGGAGGTCGAAGCTGAAGGAGGTGAGGAAGAAGGTTCGATGACTCTAGGTGTTGAGATTGAGCCTCGTCCTCTTCTTCCTCTTTCTTCCTCTTCCTCCTCAGGTGCCTGTTCCTCCTCCCTCGTCCTCGTCCTCCTCATAACCCTCCCCATCAACCCAGTCCCCTTTCTCACACTCTTCTTCCTCATAGCACCCACAGCGATTGATTTCGTTCTGGGAGATTTAGACCTAGATGTAGACGCGGTAGCCAGAGGCTGCGAACTACCTCCCGAATTCGAATGATCAGATGCCCATCCTTCTTCCTCGTCTTGCTCCGAGGCTTGAGAAGGACGACCTTCGACGACTTCTTTGACTTCTTCTCCGGCCTTTTTGACCCCCTCTTCAACTTTTTCCTCTGCTTTTTCAACTTCCTTTACAGCCTTTTTCTCTATACCACTCAACACAGCGATATAATCCTTCACCTCTCTCCTCACACTCGACTTTGTCCCTCTAAACACTTTGGATTCATGCGAATGATCACCATGCGCACTCTTCCTACTCGCTCCAGAATCCTTCCTACTCCTCCCTCCTCCTCCAAGAAGTAACCCAGACGCAGACGCAGACATATGAGATCCATGTCCATTATAAAACCAATTCTTCACAACCTCCACCTCCACCTCCTCCCCAGGCCCTCTACGCCTCTCAACAACTCTATGAGGTCCTTCCTGCCACTCTTCAATCACCTCGTCTTCGGGTCCATCAGGTGGGACTTCGCCTGCTGGAAGACGTTCAGCGTGCGCAGGTGCTAGAGCATCCGAGTCTATATCCTCCTCCTCATCTCGAGAAGGACGCTTCGCATGATCCACAGCGATAACACCCGGTTTTTCAAGCACCGTACTCTCCCCTGGACTCTCCCCCTGACTAGCCTTTTCATTTTCATCACCCTCTGACCTCTTCTCAGACAAAGAACTCTCCCCCCTCTCAGCTCTATCAACCTCATCCCTCCCATTTCTATTCATATGCTCCGGATCCTTATTAATAACCACCCCCTCCCCAACCTGCCTAACCTGCGTAGCCCACTCTGGCAACCTCCTCCCTCCTCCTCCATCACCCGTCTCAGCCCCTATAGTCGTCCTCCTCGAAAACGTCCTCGAATGTATCCTCCTCGAAAGCGAAAATCCCGGAATCGAAAGCCCATGGATCGTTATAGAACACAACACCATAAACGCCGTTATAGGCTGAATCGTCCTCGCCAGCAGACGCATTTGATCCGAAATCGACTCTCCAGTCCCCGTAGTCCCCTCTCCAGAACTAACCGAATCACCCTCCGCGTCAACTTCATTAATATGCTCATTCAACACCTCTGCAGCCAACGTAGATATAAACACCGCTCCGATCCCAATAGGCCCGAAATGTCCCGAAAACAAGGCTTCTCGAAAAGTCTTGATATCAGGCATCCATTTATAACACGCAATCATCGCAGGAAGTCTCCGAAACAAGAGAACAAGAATAGCGATAACGATAAGTCTCCACACTTCAAGCGTCAACTCTTCCTTCATCGTAAACGTCCCAAAAGGCATCCAAGCTCCGACATAGACAAACGCTGCAATGTTGAATAACAAGTCTATCACGGAGGAGAATACGGATTCTTCGGTTTGGCGGTTGAAGAAACCGTCCCAGGCAAAAGCGGTTCCGCATGCGAATGTGGATAAGAGGTCGTCGGAGCCGAGCAGGACGACTACGCCGATGGTGAAGATGGCGAGGGAGACGTATTGGGCGACGTAAGAGTGGCGGTCGATGAGGTTGTGGCCTTCGCAGAATTTCATGAGGTAGCGGAAGCCGATGCCGAGGAGGGCGCCGATGACTACGCCTAGGACTACTTGGTCTACAAAAGTGTCAGGACAAGTGGGAAGGAAGGAAGACGAGGAAAGCTCACACAACCACAACAACAAAAACCAATCCTTGATCGCTGTCCCCGTCGTCCTATCTATCATCAAGTAGAGCGCAATGTAGAGGAACGGAAACGCCGCTCCGTCATTACACCCAGACTCTGCGGCGAGCAAGTGTCGGATATGAGCTGGAACGTGTTTGTCTGCATATTTACCACCGATCACTGCGGCTGCTAGGATAGGGTCTGTTGGGGTGAGGCAAGCAGCTACGCAGAGGGAGGAGAGAAAGTTGAGGCCGGGGACGAGGGCGAATATGAATGCGGCCGAGACGAACCAGCCCTAGACACAAAATGGTTAGAGTAGTCGTATGAAATTTTTTCAAGGAACACACCCAAGTCATGATAGGCCCCAACATGAAAAACAAACTCTTCCAATGCCTCTTCATATACGCCTTGGGCAACTCGACTCCGATAGCAAACACTCCAATAGCGAGAACGACCCGTGTAAACTCTAGCGTGATAGCATTCGTCGTTTCGTCCGAGTTGTCTCCCCAACTATGAGGGTCGAATATGCCTGCGCCGTATGGACCGATGATGATACCGAACAAAAAGGCCCAGCAGGCTTCACCGATGTAGAGTCGTTCACGGAGAAAGAGGGAAAACATGCCGAATAGGACGACGAACCCGCCGAGGCAGGCGTAGACGATATGCGGGACATTGACTTCGAACTGGCGTGGTGTTAGTGAATTAGTAGAGGAGAGAAAGAAGGAAAGCTCGTACCGGACGAAAAACCATGATTTATACAACCCCGAGGACCAACAGCGTAAATCACTCAAAAAACGTGCTCAACTGAATCGTCTTTGCGTAAGAAAAGGAAAGAGAGAGCGTCTTGGTGGTCTTGTCGTCGTCGTTATCGTGGAAGAGCAAAAGCAAGAAAGCAAAGAGATTGCCAAGCGCACTCCAACGGTGACCAAGCCAAAAACCAAAACCAATGACACAATCCTGGCTTTATCTTTGTGCCCTGTTTTATACTTTCACGTGCGGTGCCTGTAGTCGCTTCCCTCGACGTAGAACGGAAACATACTTTTTATCAACATATCTCTCTTATATACACTACTATCCTCTGCAGATGACCAGGCCATCTCCACTAGTTCTTGATGTCGACGCTCCAACTCCACCCGTTCATTTTCCAAGAACCCAAGCCCAAACTTTCTGTCTTGGGCTTTTTGGCTATCAGTGGCGGTGGTGATCTCCCACAGCTGCAGGTCTAGACTATGAAAACCCTCCAAAGTCCCTTTCTCCTCGAATCCTCTTGAACCTCGAAGCTTGGAGTCTCGGAATCGTTCCGTACCTCCGACCCGTGACTAAGCGACAACTCCAGGGTCGGTACAGAAACCGTCGGTCGTACCAGTGTTACTCTCAACAGCATCATGACCTCTCCGCTGCTCTTATCACCAACTATGCCAAGTCTCACCTCACCGCAACAGACTTGGTGTTTCAAAGCCTCGAGCAAACCTCAAGTCCAAGCTCAAGATCCATCCATTCAATTCGATTTCCATCAGACCTTTATTGAGTACTCACTTGTCTACTAGTGCAAAAAATCAACGTTATACCCACCCTCGCCTGCCTCGAGTTTCTTTCTTTTCCTTTTCTTCAGGGTTTTAAATACCTTTTACGCAACTTTTTACTGCGTCTCTTGATCACACGACCCAAGCTAGTACCGCAACTGTAGTTGAACATGCTTTGACCGGTACCGTTATCCTTTTGATTGTTTACCGCTTCTACAGCTTTCGTCGTTAACGTTTGTCCGGATCTACTTTCCATCAACACGATTGGAGGGACCTTTTCGAAGGCTTGAATTCAGTTCGGAATATAACATCAACGCCGCTACATACCGATTGCACGCCTTCAACACCCCTTTGTTCGTCTACTGGCCTATCAAAGCAAAGCTTGGAAACTCACGATCAAACTCCTCGGAGAAACGGGAGACGCTTTTTATTTATTTCTCCTTTGATACGCACGTACGAACTTTCTAGAACTTTTCTTTCTTTTCCCTTGAACTCCTTATCGTGCTCTCCTTTTACTGTTTTCCCTTCGAACAACAACCGCACACGTTCGTCCTTTCGTGCATTATACCCGCCGGCTCTATGTAGTACATAGAATTGCGACGCGGATATCCTGCGACCGTTATCCATTCATTCAACGCCTGCTTAGCGCTTAGCCTCAACAGCTTAACCCCGCATCCCCAACTCCGTTACTTACCGCCAAGCACCCCAAATCCTACTTCCCGCTTCCGCTGTCATCATATATACATCACTTATGACGGTCCTGGCGCTTTGAATACCACTATGTTATGTTACTTACTCCGGGTTCTTCGACTAAATACTGTCGGAATATTGAACCCGAGTTACCGTGTAGTTCAAGTCTCGACCTAGCTTCAGACTTGTGAAAGTCCCAGTTTTTCAACCATAATTACAATACAAGTACTTCAGTGCATACATAGATGGATAGGTGTACATATTAAGCACAGCGAAGCAGCATGGCGCAGTGGTAGCGCGCGGGGCCCATATAGAATAGTAAATAAGGAAATATTCACCCCGAGGTCACTTGATCGAAACAAGTTGCTGCTATCATCAGATCGTTGCTGTTCTTCTCTCTTTTTCGTTGAATATGTGGATTTAGTAAGTATCAATATAATAACTAGGCCATAGGTGGGGCTGGGTAGAAAATTGGTCAACTCCCGATTTTTTTTTCTTTACCTGTTGGTGGGTACTTGAAATCCAGATACAAATCCAGGGAGTCATAGTGAATACATGTCAGATTGCTAGATAGTATTTATTGTGTACAGCAGCATGGCGCAGTGGTAGCGCGCGGGGCCCATATGACAGATTAAGAGTTGATCACCCCGAGGTCACTTGATCGAAACAAGTTGCTGCTAATTATATTGTCATCATCCTGATAATAAAGTGACAGATTTTTTTTTTTTGAGCTGATAAGCTGAGGTTAACAAAATTCAATTCTTCGTTTTTTTGCGTGAAGCAATTTAAAAATATTTCTACATGTGACATACATAGACTCATTCCTTCATACTATTTTGATGGCATTGTATACTACATTTCTTTTTGATTTTAATGCGCCATGATTTATGGTGCACTTATAGCCCCATCCTTTATCATCCTGGAATATCCTGTAAACTCCAATTATTCCAGACTACATTTACAGGTTCATGGTATATCTAGACCTGCTAGGAATTTGAAAGCTTGGACAGGTCTTTTGGGTTTTACTGATGAAGTTGTAATGTTTGCTCATTTTTAACATTAAATTCCTTTTTTTGGCGTTCATTGTGTCTGGAGTCCTACGTTTTATAATGAATATCGTCATCCTAGAGTGCTAGATAGTAATTATTATGTATAGCAGCATGGCGCAGTGGTAGCGCGCGGGGCCCATATTATTTAATTCTCGGTACCCCGAGGTCACTTGATTGAAACAAGTTGCTGCTATAAGTTAGGGAACAAATCATTTTTTTCTCCTTGTGTGTGCGTGGGTGTGTGTTTTTCGACCCTTTTTTTATTATAAATACACCATACTAGAAAGATTGGAAATGGGTGAGTGACTCTCGACAATGATTCTAAAATGTTTTGTCTGCAATTTGGTGCAGTTGCCAGACATCAACCCTCCCTGCCAAGTATGTATGTAACTATTGAAATTCAACCACTTTCAGAAGATACCCAATCTATATAGAATGCGACAAGGGTGTTTTCGTACCCGAAATAACCGAAATAACCGACAGTTTTCGTAAGCTGTCAAAACTATCCGTCGAGTAAAAACGCTTAATGAGCGGACTTTCAACTACTTTCAATTCATACTCATGCCAGTGTGTTCACCGAGATTTGACCGTAACTTTAATTCGCCAGTTCAAATTAAACGGCTCATAGCCCATGTCTGTTAAACAACGCAATTCCGCAAAGTTTCAAATTTGCAATCTCCATATAGCATAAGCATTTGATACCATTCTGTGCATCTTTAATAAAAACAACTATTGATTATAGTTTCAATAGTGCTCAGTTAAACCTGCCTTCAAATAAATGAATTATACTGCCATCTGCTGTTTGAATAAAGGTCCTCCTTATACTACTGAAGTAAATTGTGTTGCAGACCACATATCAATACAGATTGCAGGAATTACAGGACACCAACTACTTAGGAATCAACCATTACCACTAACTCTTGAATGAAGAAGGATCTGAAGACTTTGCAAAGTGGCTGTTAGACATTGGATGTGGAAAAGACCTGCTTGAAGATAATGGCATTATGCATCCTGATTCAGTTAGCTGTTGTGATAAAACAATCTATCCAGAAATTAATCTTCCAAACAGATAAAATGCTTACTCTTTGGAGAGATCAATTATGCAATTATAAGATTCTGAAAAATTTTCCAGGACAAGAAAGAGTCTATATATCTGCAGATCAAGTTGTTCTTGAAGAAGCTGATGCACCAGTAGATTTTCTACAATCTTTAAATGCATCAGGACTTTCTATATCAAAATTTATACTAAAAGAAGGGTGTCCACTCATGCTACTCCAAAATCTGGATCCTACTAATGGGATATGTAATGAAATTCAATTTATAACTACTCCAAGCAGAAAATCATTTATCAAAGTGTGAAATTCTGGGGGCACATATGCTGGGAAAATTGTACTACACCTCAAATTGCATTAGAGCCATCAAAGGACTGTCCCATTCCTTTTAGACATCACCAGTTCCCAGTTAGGCTGGCCTTTGCAATGATTATGAATAAACTACAAGAGCAATCAGTAACTCATAGTGGTTTAGATCTTAGAACACCTGTATTCTCACATGGCCAATTATATGTTGCAGTGAAGGTGTACATCAGCTTTCAAATTTACAATTCTTTTGCCTGAAGACTGAGAGGATAGACAATGAATATTGTGTATAAAGAAGTTCTGGCTGGACTCATTTGAGAATCCAGATATGTTGGATGTACCAAACTCATTTATACACTCATTTCATAATGATATTTCATTTTCAAATTTTTAGATAGTAATTAGCAATAACAGTGTCATTAAGTTAATAACCATAAGTTTTTTTGGGTGTAAAGAAATGAAGCTGACAGGCTGAGTAGGGTTTGGGACACAGTGGCGTGCCGAAGGCATGGCCCAACAGCTTGTGCACTTGAACCTTGAAACATCAATATATTTAGAAGTAGTTATTCCCTATGAACTTGAAACTCAAGCAAGCAAATTAAAAGCATATTTGTATATGACAATTATAGTATACAACATGAGATGCAGATTCTCACTTGTTATGTGAGCAATAATAATAGGGCATGAGAGCATTATAGACTTTACCAACTTTTCATAAACTTGTTACAAAAAAGGCATGATCTTAAATTAGTCATGAACAGGACATGACAGGAGAATATCACTTTGTAGAGACCTCATTTTTGATTGCAAGAAATATGGCAGGAAATGCCTTAAAACATGGTGAATTATTTTGAAGTTAGGCAACAAAATTTTAAAATAATATGGATCAGATTTTTTGATTTTATTTTAATGATACTGTTTAATATTTGCAATTCAAATTGATAGATCTTGTGAGGATATCTTAACAAGATTTCAATATATTCAAATATTTTCTGTTAAATTTAAAGATTGACTAAAATACTTTTAGCTTATTTCACTGTGTTTTATTATCTTCACCATATTTTTAGCTCATTTCTTGATCTATTTACTTAATTTTTGAAGATATGTGATGCAATGAGTGTTAGCTGGGTGACCATATATTTTTCTGTAGCTTGACTAAGTTATGAATTCACATCCCAATAAAATTCTGTGATTTCAGTATGTGCACTCATCTTAGGAGCATAAATCTGAAAGCAGCAAAAATACGAAGAAACGAGTGCGCTAGGGCTTGAGGAAGATTAGGTTCGGAAGCCTGTCGACGTCAGCTGTAAACTCGTTCCAGACTTTCTTGATCTGTAACATAACAGCAGCATGAGTCTACGTTTGCTGCACGGAACAAATAATCAGGTATGGGATACGAGGCCGGAAGTTTACCATTTGTTCGCTATAAAGAACTTGATCCAGTTGAATCAGTGCGATCCGCATTGTCGGCATTGACTTTGCATATTAATATCTATTCTGGCCAACGGATTACGGCTCATCCTTACTTACCACGCTGCAGTAATTGTTGAGACAAGTTCGGTTCCTTCCCAATCTTTTTACGTATAATCTCCGAATTTATGCATTCTCGTATGTTGTGCGTGCCGTGGTTGATGCCGTCATTCTAAGTATTCCTTTCTGACCTCATACGTGCCGTGCGGAGTGATGGCTTTCTTGATTGTACCAGGTATGCTCAGCAACAAGAAGGACGAAGTTGTATATCAAATTGAAGTATATAAATTGGTCTCTCTCAGTAGTGACCTATTCTGCTTGACAGTGTAGTTTGATACATGAAAGGGTAGCTTCGTCACGGTGTCATATGTACTCTCTATTTTTTGTAGATCCGTACTCTGCTACTGTCATTGAGTCTCGTGGCATATATATTTTCTGAGTCAAGTACTCTGCTTCTCACGTTAGCATTCGTGTTACATACACTTTATTTGAGATAAAACGAAGCTTGATGTGCGAGAAGCGGAGTGCCCGCAGAGTTGTGAACGGTGTGGCAAAGTGCATATGATACATCATAATAGCTTCGTTAGCAGAAAAGTATTAATTATAGGAATAAATTACAACACCAATGACGTGAAGCTTTGGCGCTTGCAGCAGGGTACATCAAGTATCATATCCAATTTTGGCGTGAAGTGCAAGTCCACGGTTGATGCTTCTGCAATGACATTTGCTTAACCCCCTCTTGCCACTTGGGGCTCAATCAAATTTTGCCGCTTTCTTAAGGTAGGTTTATAAAAGGAAGAAAATGATATCATATCTCAACCACATAGTAAGGGTGTTTGAACAGGTGCTCATTCAAGGTCACCACTGAGCATCAATGTAATGGGAATATTCTCTGAGTTCTGATTTATATCATTATCAAATCTTCTTTCTCAAACTAAGGTCAGCGGTACGGAACCTATAAGTACATCTTGAACTGATATACATATACTACAAGCCTAAACTAGAACCTCTACCAAACTAAATGTTAATCAAATTTGAGAACTTGATTGTTGGGGGTCCTTGGTCAATGATCACATCTCAACAGAAAGTGATGGTGAGCTACAGATAGGAATATTCAAGACTCGATCACCTACACAATAGTAATATGAATAACTTACCCCGACATTGGCAGCTGAGCATTGGAAGACAGTACCATCCGCGGGATCAGTGCCAACAAAGGCTCCAGGGCACACATCCTGGGTAGGACCAGTGCAAGGTCCAGGGTTGTTGGGAGCAAGGTTGCAACCATTGGCTGTGAAAGCCATGTTGTATTTGCTGAATAAAACATATGCATCAGCACGGTGTCATTCAGGTGAAATGGGAAAATAGGGCATACAAAGTGTGGGTCTGACCACTGTTCTGCTGAAGGGAATAATTAATCGCGTTCTGGGTGTTGCTTGGGTCAGTGTCGGGGTTGATGAGGGTGAACTCGACGTCGCCACAGTTGAGGCCATCGGCATCGCCACAACCGAAAGCACCTTTGATCCAAGCAAGACCACCGCGGACAGGACCACTGATAGTGGCGCTACCAGTGAATTGCTGGCCTCCAGCGACTTCGAAGACAGCTGTCCCCTGACCGCAGTTGTTGACCAACTAATATATGACCATGTCAGCACAACCCAAGAGGAAGAAGTGTTGGAAAAAATCACTGACATTGACAACGTGGGTCTCTTGTGCCACAACAGTGGCGACGAAGATGGCGAAGACAGAGACGATAGATTTCATTATGGTAGCTCTGGAGCAAATAAGGATTGAGGTGAACTGGTCGTATTCTGAGTCAATAATCCAGCTTTTATACCTGTTCAAAGTCTTGTGTATGTAAATAGCAGTAAAAGAGACTATGAAATAAGTGCATCACAAGTTCGGATCATGCAACCAAATACGAATACTAACCTCCAATGTACATATTAGCAGAAGTCAGAATTGGTACCATTGGCAAGCGGCAATCATTGAACGCAAAAAAATAGCAATGAAACAAATTGTTATGTTATGATTTCAATTCCTAAAGCGAAGTGGCAGGCCTAGGGTAGATCGGCTTCATAGGCTTTAGTAGCGGCAATCAGAGATGCTCCACATACGCTATTATTTGTGTACTAGAAGTGCATTCTGGCCTAGAAGTGCATTTCTGCATTTGCGCCGTTTTCTCTCCATCGAACTAAATTCTGGAATCTTAAGAGGACCCAGAACGAGGAAGCCACCAAACAAGGCAAAAGACTCAAACTGCACTTCCCTGTCAAATCCCACGCTCTCGACTCCAGCAGCAAGAGAGCACTACTTTACATCCTGCGAGAAATACGAAATACGAAAATATCGTATGTGCCATATA